TGTGAGTGTTTATATTTTAATTCAGTGACTGACATGAAAATATTTCTACGAAAAATAAATTTATTTATTATCAAATTATTTCCTAAAAGTTAAATAAAATTTTTAAATTATCTGATTTTTTAGGGCTTAAAAATTAATGATTTTTTTTTTTGCTGAGAAATTATTTGTACTATTTTTTCATTTCATTTCATTTCATTTCACTTGAGCCATTTTTACATGAATTCACATTTTGTGGACATAAATTTCTTTTCTTAAGTTAACCTAAATTCACTTTATCTTCATAAGTACTTAACTTTTACTTTGTGACTATTTTTATGCAGTAAAGCTTGAGGGAACCATTAATAAATAAGACTGATACTGAAATATGATAGGTACAAATTGATTGCTATGGATGGACATGAACTGACTAATAGAAATAGATCAAAACAGTGGAATAATTATCAAAACCTCTCTCACTAGTTTGGTAAGAGAAAAATACAAAAGAGTGTGAAATGAGTGATAGGCAAACCTATCTACTCCTATTGAGGTGAACATGTTTGAGATAATTTAGCTTAACTAAACCACAACATTCTTCTTTTACAACTAAAAAATTTCTTAAAATATATAGTTTCTCAAAAAATAATAGACCAATGGTTTCTTTTAAGTCAATGTGAAACGTGCCTGTCATGTTATTTTTCCTTATTTATTATTTACACTATTTGCATTCAGACTATTGTCCTCATCTCTGTTGTTTCCAACTCAATGTTTTAGTCCTTGCACCATCCATCCTTCATCAGGTGTATATCGATCCAGGTAAACTATGGGAAATTTTGAAATGACCCCTTTATTTAATCTATGGGAGTAGACTGTTCTCGTTACAGTGCCCATGTCTAGCGATATGTCATCTAGTTCTTTTTTTCATACTGTTCAGTTATAGCTCGCCCTGTGTACACACTGCCCAGCCCAGAAACTGAACTCCCAACTATTATGTCAAATTCACAAACCAATGCTTTAATCTAATAGGAAGATTATCTGCAGAAAACTTGGAGCCTAAACATAACCTGCCAGATCAGGCCCAGTAATATTGCTGATTCATCTTTGGATTTTTTCAAGAGGCCAAGTTAAATAGCATATATATATATATATATATATATATATATATATATATATATATATATATATATATATATATATATATATAATGAAATGGACAAAGTCTGACAATTATTTAGGACATTATTTCTAAAAAAGAACGTAAAAGAAAATGTCTTAAATAAGTGTATGTATGTATGTATATATATATATATATATATATATATATATATACACAGCCATAAATTTGCAGGTTTATGATAAAAAAAAGCATTTATGTTAGACAGAAAATATATTTTTTTTTTTCAATATAATCCGCTTCTTTGTCAATGAACTTAATTCAATGGTGAAAATTAAATACAAAGATCGGACATCATACTGTGAAAACGTCAGTTCGAAATTCACCTAATAACTATGTGTTATTGACCGATTGACCCAGCCTCGGACATAAATTCTCTATTCTCTGAATTTTTTTTCCCATATGTTCTGGACATTAGCTTCATCACCTTTTATTTTTAATTCTTTTGACTTTCATTTTATTTTTTCTTTTCAAAACAATAATGTCCTAATTCTAGTTGATTCGTTTTTCTTTCAAATTTATTTCCCTTTCTGTTTGTTACCAGTTGCCTCCCCTGCTTTAAGAGTCTGGATATATTTGTTCTATATTTATATTTAATGGTGATATGCTAGAAAATAATGTTTATATTGGTATTCCAAGGCACTCAGGAGTCATGATTTCTTAGTTCAGAAGTTTCTAACTACAAAAGTCAATCAAAAGTTATTGTTGGAATGGAAAATTCTTGTTAAATCCTTGAAGGAAGTGAAAATAAATTAGAAAGAGTGCAGCAAATATGAGACATTCATGATAAATATAAAATTGGAAGTGCATATAAAATAAGTTTTTAACATACCATACATCCTGTCCTGACATCTGACAGGAGATATAAATTATCAGTAATTTTATTTTAAACGAATATAAAACTGAAAATTGTCCATGTTTGAGGTTTTGAAATTATCGTAAACATTGTATATGAACATAGCAGTGATCAGTGTGGAGAGAGGGGTTTAGCATGTCGAGTTCAAATACCAGCTACAACCGTTGCATTTACTCTCACACAGATATCCTTGATATGAATCCATCTCTTTTATCCAGTGACAACCCTAGGGTTGCTGGCACCCTGGGCAAGCTGAACTTCAGTGTCCTTACAAGAATATTTTTTTTAAATTTTCACAAAGAGAAAAACTGAAAATGTAGAATAACAAGTTTATTACAATATACAACAATGCAAGCTAAAGAAAGCATTCATTATCCTACCTAAAAAAAAATGTTTTCTAACCTTTAGACCTGTAAATCGTTCCATGGTATTTTGTACACCCATCTTCTGTACGAGATCATTTTCTATTGACATAATAGCCAAAGAATTTAATAAGTCTTGAGTCATGGAAGACCACAAGTATGTTTTTATAAGCATTAATTTTGGAAGATCTCAAACACATGATATGGCAGTATGATGGTGCCATGGTGACTGCCTGAATTTCTACTACTTTGAGCCTGCCCTACTTCTATCCTCAGCTAGGGATTAATAGTTTTGGTTGGTAATCAGTCTAGGAGAAAGACAACTGAATTCCAAAGCAGTTAGGCTTAGGTCTGTAAAACTAAAGCTACTGAAACTTCAGCCACAATGCCTAGCATGATGGGACTGTGGCTATGTACACAACAGGGGAATCTATAGAGTTAGGAGTTGTGTGTGTGTGTGTGTGTGTGTGTGTGTGTGTGTGTAGAAAGCTGAAGAATGCTGCAAAGTGTTCTGCCTGAAAAAAATTTGTGAACATCAAATTGTCTTTAGGAAGGACATTTTGGCTATGCCTAGAACTTTTCAGCATATATATATATATATATATATATATATATGTGTATGTAGAGAGTGATAGATCTTTATATATATATATATATATATATATAAAATTAATGGATTTGTTTTTAATCTGATATTTTTATTACTTAAAAAGTAATTTTGTTTGAATAGACACCTCGTTTTTTTTAAACAGTGTATATTTTTGAATTTTGTTTAGGAAAGACATTTTGGTTATGCTAAGAACTTTTCAGCATATATATATACATATATATTTAGGAGGCACGGTGAAGTAGTGGATAGCAGTTTAGATTGAGGAATCGGAGAGCCAGGTTTGAATCCATTACATTCAATTATGCGCTAATACCCTTGGGAAAGGTATTAATCTTCTTCTTCACCCTCCAGCTATGGGTAAATAGCAGGACAGACTGGGTTCTATAGCCTTAGATGGCAAATGGTTTAGGAGGAGGACAACTCTGACTTCAAAACCTGTGGAGGGTCATTTGGAGACCTTGTGGCACGTTGTGCACCAGGTCTCTGTATTCGGCCTTTCAAAGCCTACACCACTATGATCAAATCATATGTTCTGGTGTCTGCGCTGTCAGTTCCTAGGAACCAAGCTGCCTAACCCTCATATGTTGAATACAACGGGAGATTCCACCATATATAATATATATATAAAATGAAATAATAGCCAAGTGCATATATATATATATATATATATATATATATATATATATATATATACACATTTTTATCATTTGAGTCTTAATATCAATTATTTATTTGAAAAACAAATTACAACTTTATAGCCCAAAAGACTAGAATGCTCAAAAATTAGAAATGCTTGCATAGACACACACATATATATATATATATATATATATATATATAGAATTAATGGATTTATTTCTTAACCTGACATTTTTATTACTTGAAATGTTATCTTTTGTAGATAGCTGTGTTTGAATAGATGCCACGTTTTTTTTATAAAACAGTGTGTATTACATTTATTGAAAATATACTTTCTGGGTTCAAACTTTGACAGAGACCACATTTTCTATTAATTTTTCTCAGGCATGCAAGCTGATAGATATAATACCCACTGTTTAAAAACAAATCAGTCTTTTTGAACATGGTTATCCACTCCAAATAATACTTGAAATAAAAAAATTATATATATATATATATATATATATATATATATATGAAATAAATACAAATATATATATATATATAAATAGGAAACATGAACAGGATGTGAGATATGTTTAGGGGTTTATGTGTTGGGTGGGTGGAGGTTAGTGTTTAAGTAAAAAGCTATTTTTAATCTATTTTTGCTATTCGATCTGTGTATTATTGGACAGTTCTTACACACTCTATGTCCAAAATAGAAAACTCTTATACACCTGAAAATATAATAAAAAAATTGAATTGCAGTACCTTGTCAGTCATCTTCAATGAAACCTGTATAAAAGAGGGACTGCTGTCTAAATACACATAAAATACACAAATACATATATAAACAAGATACACATCTAAAAATGGACAAATTTGAGATGTAAGATATGTTTAGCATTTTGTATGTGTTAGTTGGGTTTCTGGGAGTTTAAGTGAGAAACTTATAAAAAGCTTTAGTCCTTCTTGACTACACCAATTACCAGATTTGAAAATGTTACTTGCTACAAAATTTCATCGAAGTGATCATATCGACCATTAGATCTATTTTCTAAACTTACTTAGAATGAAGAAATCTCCCACAAGCTCTCACTAGTGGTTAATTCTTTTGAAAAAGCATCATGCAGAATATGAATACAAAATGTAATAAATCTACTAAGGTTAACGTTCTTGCTTGCCGCGGGGTTCCCACAGACGCAGAGACAGGAACGACCAGAAGCCCGTTGCCGATGCAGACGCCTTGGATTTTCACTAGAGCCCTTGTTAGCCGGCGTGTGTGTCAGACCTGTCCGCTTTTGTGGCCCTACCAGGAACGAAGTTCCGGGCAGCATAACTCTGACATCATTGTTTACCCCCCCCCCACCGACTGTGTGTGAGGTAAGGGTTGGACTTTGGGGGCTTACAGTACCAGGTGTTCCCAAGGGTCCCCCATCTAAGTACTGACCTGGCTCTACGATGCTTAACTTCGGTGATCGAACGAGAACCAGTGTTTCAGCGTGATTTGACCGTAAGCCTTAACTTCCATGATTGTATTTCAATGTCAAGTATGGGCAATACCTAGAGGAGTGACTACTTGGGAATACCAGGTGCTGTAAGCTTGGATGTACGGGTCTTGTAATGGATAATGACTTGGAATTGTTAATCACAGAGCCGAGTTCCAATTCATGTTGGGTTTTTTATATTCGCTTACACACAAATACCCTTGGGAAAGGTATGAATCCACCACTTCTCCTCCCAGCTATGTGTTAATTAGTTAGACTTGTGTCACTAAACCTTTATTATCTCTAAAAAAATTTCTTACAATCTAAAAATATTTTCTGCCCTTAAATATCTTGCAGAGGTTTGATAAACCATAAAAAATGTATGAATCAATCAATTACTTACATTATTTACATTATTCGGACTGTCATCCTCATCTTCATTGCCATATTCACAACATTTCGGCCATTGAATGCACCAACCTTCTTCAGGTGATTGGAATTTTAAACTGAACCCTTTATTTCATCCACTGGCCCAGTGGATAAAGGTGTTGGTTAGATCCAGTGACTAGACCCAAAGAGTTGTGTGTTCAAAATGTGGAGAGATGAGTTAAAGGGAAATAACTGAGACATCCGGAAGAGGCATGGCATGTAGAATTAGAACAATCTACCCCAGTGGATGAAAGAAAGGGTTCTGTTCGAAATTCCAATCACCTAAAGAAGGCTGGAGTTTACTTTGTGAATATGGCAATGAAGATGAGGATAACAGTCTGAATAATGTAAGTAATCATAATACCTCATCTCGGAGATATAGACAAATCAATCAATCAGTCAATATAAATGTATGTTACTGCAAACTTTATTATAGTGGATACTCTTCATTTTGAAATAAACACCCCATTTATATTTCAAATATGGAGTATGAACTATAATAGTGTTTGAAGTAATAATAATGTGTGATTAAAGATAGATCCATTAATTCTTTATAAATATATGTATCTAATATAAGTATATTTCACAAGCACATGAATCATATGTGCAGGAAGGTTAGAGGCTTGGAATGAGAAATTGATCCTAGTTCAAATTCTGGTTGAGAGTGTTATATATACTCTTGCACAAATACCTTGAGAAAAAGCATGAATTCATTTTTTCTCTCCCTCCTCCTGCTATGGGTTAAATAATAAGACTAACTAGATTCTCTAGATGTGGATGGACAGCTCTGAATTCAAAACTATATAAAGTTGCAATATAAATCCTATGTTAGCTCTGTCGTGGTTGAAGAAACACAAATGGGCCTGGAAAAATGCACTCATGCTGGAAATGGGAAATTGTACTGCTCTGATAATGCTGTTGTAAATCTTTCTATTTTTTCTTCACATCTTCAATACATTTACTACTTACTTCTTGATAAATAAGAGGGCATCTAAACTCTTCTGACCTGGTAGATTCTACAAGTACATAAATGTACTGATATTTTAAAAATAAAATCTATATACCTAGATTTTGATTTAAATGTTCTACTTTAAACTAATAAGCAAATATCTATTTGTGATCATAACTCTCCACAATTTCCTATCTTAGTAAGGTTTTTTTTTTACTATCCCTTCCACTCCTCATTCTGCCATTCATTCACATAAAAGTAAATGGCCTCACTGTTTCTTTCTGCCCCTCTTGCCTTCAATATGTCTTGTGGGTCTCAAATTTTCCAAGCTCACTTTCCTCATTATGTGTCCTAGAAATTTTAACTATTTCTTTCTAATTCTTAGTATAAGTGTTCTTTTTGTTTTCATTTTTCATAAGACTTTCTTGTTGCTTCTAGGGTCTGTCCATGATATTCTCAGCATCCTTCTGTAGAACAAGATTTTTGTTGCCTCCAGTCTTATGTCTCTTCACTGAAAACCTATCAAAAAAATTTAGTCCTTATTAACTACAGCAAATACCAGATTGGAAATTGACACTTTGTTCCAAAATTCCGTCTATTCAATTATTTCAATTGTTGAATATATTTTTTATGCTATTCTTCTATTCTATTCTTTTCTTTTCTTTTATTTTATGCAAAAAAAATCGTGATTATTTTATTTGATTATTCTACATTTTACAAGCAGAACAAGGTTTTATACAAGCATATAGCATCATAAAAATATCAGTGATATAGCTGTTTATATATATATACATTTGTTATGAAAACACTCCAAGTGCGCAGGATCACCTCATCAGTGATGTTATGACTTGGAATCATGACAAGTTTTAGGTCTTGCAACATCATACTTGTTTGCCCACGAGACCCTACTTATTCCAGCAGGTGATCCTGAAGCAAAAATCTGCCAAGCACAAAAAATGGACACATTAAAAAACTGCCACTGCTGATCTTGAAATCACTAGCGACCAATCAGTAATGAACTACATCACTTCCTCCTCAGCCAAGATGATACAAAAGAGGTTAAAGAGCATGCTTGTCTTTTTTCCATCTTAGGTCCAACACATGGAAAGATCTACATTTTCAATATATCTATATTTGGGCAGCAACCTTTCTTTCAAACATCTTTCATTATATGCAGCAGACAAGGAAGATTTAATTATTTTTCTTAAGTTTTTCCAGCATCCTTACATTTTTCTCTACAAAAATTTTCCATAATTTCATTATCTGGACACTTCTATCACCATTTTCAAGGGTGTTTTGTCTGTGGTGTTGTTATTTTTATCTCATGTTTGACTGTTACATTGTAATTTATTTTTGTTTTGAATAGGAGCATTCATTCTAAGAATTCACATATTGTGCATGGCTGGAGTTCATGTGAACATTTTAAAAACTTTTAACACGCCATTTCCACTGTTAAATAATGCGAGATTGAGAGGAGAGAAATATTTCATATACAGGGCCTCTCTAATAGTGAGATGTTTCTGATGATGTGATTTATATAGAATTTTAGAATGTTTTTAAGGGTTCTTGTAAATTGTGAGTTGATAGATGTTTTTTATAGCACTTTGGTCTGATAAGTGATGTGTGAAGCATCTACTCAAGGAGGTGGTAGTATGTCTAATGTAGGTAATTGATTTGTGACAAGAAATATAGTCTTATACTGGGCAGTGAAATGGATACACTATATTCGTCATTATGAGTTTAAATTTAATGGGTTTATTTTGATTAATGACAACAAAGTTTGTGGTTTTCTATTTTCAGTAATATATTATAAATTTTATATGTTTTTCGAGAAATATATGTGTGTGTATTTTTTAATCATTTCACCTCAAGCAAGGTGATAATGCAACTACGATGCAAGGGCTTAGTGGAAGAGTAAGGAGAAAGGACAATAAAAGAATAGGGCCTCAGGAAGAAAAAAGATGGCAACTGTCATTTTTTTAAGATTGTAGGTGGCAAGGAAGGGAGATTCACAGGTAAGAAGTGTGAGAAAAGAAACTATTAGAATAGAACTTACAGTTGCATCTAGCTCATTCAACAGCAAAATGGTGAGACCTACTTGCTAATCTAGTAGCACACTTAAATTCATGCAGTCAATGCCCCAAAGAGAAAAGCTCATAGAAACAACTTCCATGAAAATGTTTTTAGAAAGGACAGAGGGAAGCCACATCATGTTGGTAAGAAAGTGACTGAAATCAAGATGCCAGGACAGAATTGATTACTTTACAAACTCTTCTTAGAATTATGCCATCTCATCTTTCCCTTTTGTCAAGAATCTCATGATAAATAGATAACAAGAATTTTGTGAATTATTATTGTTTTAGATGCAATGTTGGATAGCCATGAAGCAGACTGGAGAAAAGACAAAAGAATTTTTCTCATCTACCAACAGGCATACCAATCAGCAAACAAGGAAGTAATATGAAGACTAAAAGAAACATTTGAAAAACAAATTTTCATTAGATCAGCAATCGTTGTGACAAAGTCTACAAATGAAAAGGAAAACAGAAAAACGGATACAGATGAATTACTTAATTCTGCTGGGGGAACATTTACAGATGACCAATCTTGGCACCATGTCCAAAAATCACTACTTTAAAAGACCCTCACAGCTTTCTCTGCCCAGTTCTGCACTCTACATCAAAGAGATTAGTTGGCAAAGGAAAACCAAGATAGCAATTATTCTTGCTCACACCTTCATCACAACTACGAACACCAATTTTTACTTTTGTATTGTGCCTTTGACTAGATTTTTAACAAAAGGTTGATAGTTGGCTGGTCATGTAAGGTGGAGACTGATTTGAAGTGTAAATTTGAGGGTTGGATTGCCAGCTAAAGTCTATGAATTTTACATAAGCAATAACAATGTTATTGGTGATGATGACAAGTACAAAGATGTTGCTGCTATTGATGTTCATAAAATATTGCTAATGTTATTGTGTGGTTAAGTATTCCTGTAGCCCTTGACATACCTCTCTTTAATTTTCTTTCTCTCTCAGCATTCTCTGTTTTTAGAATTATGCCATCTTATCTTTCCCTTTCTCTAACTTTCTGAATATTTTCCTGTTACTTTCAGTATTAAGGAATAAAAAAAAACTTACAATGGCCATTACAGAAATATTCTGCGGTGAAGTCTATATACCATGTTTGATTTTAAAGCATGAAAATGAAAAGAATAGCAAAGGATCCTTACATTCTTAAACAAATGTCCATGTCAACAATTCATTCTCTCTCTCACTTTCTTCCTCTCTCTTTCTTCTCTCTCTCTCTTTCTCCCTCTTTTCTCTCTGTCTTGTAAAATCTAAAGTTAGGTTGCTTTGCAGGCCAACAAAATCAATGATTGGGAGACTGTGCAGTAAATGATATTGTGGTTGATATGGGAAATCAATAGTGTTGGTGACAGTGATAGCTGAGCAATATGAATAGAGAACTCCTTTATACTATTTACTGACATAGAATAGATGTGTGAGGATATGTATCTCTATGTATGTGTAATATATACAGGGTGCGATGGATAAATTGTCATCTAAATTATGTAAAAATGAAAATTATACTGACATCTAATTTTAACAGATATATTTACTAAAATTACACAAAAATATCTTGAAATACT